GTGTGAGCACGAGGAGCCGGGGGGGGGGGAGTGGCTGGGAGTCCCAGTCACTCCCCCCGCCCCCGCCAGACTTCTGCATGCAACCAGAGGGAGTCCCAGGCTGGGAGGCGGGGCCGCGATCGGTGCTGGGAGCCCTCAGCTGATTGCATCTGAGGAGGAGTGGTGCCTTGGGGAGGAGGAGAAGCCCTGTCCCTGCTCCTGAGCACTGTTCAAGCACGTTGTGGTGCCATGGTCCAGGAGAGAAGCCCGCGGGTGGTTTGTGGTTGCGTTTAGGCGCCTTCCATGGTCTCTCAGCCAAAACTTACTGGGGTGGAATTTCTGCTTCCCACTGGGACACCCAAAGACCTGGCTATGGGGGAGTCACCTTTCTACCCATGGTCGCCCCTCCCCCCTGCCACTGTGTTGCCCCGGGATCTGCCTCTCTCTGCTTTGGGTAGCAGGCGACTGCTTTGCAGAGCAGACTCTGTTGCCTCCCCCTTTGTTCCCAGCTTGGTGGCTCTTGGCAGTAGCCACACTTCCAAGGTGTGTGTTCAGTGTGGGTGGTTTGGGTTTTTTTTTTTTTTTTGGCTTGACAAATTTTTAGCCAGTATTTTTTGGGAGACCATCTGGCAACCCTACAGGCCCAGCCACATAGTTTGTGGGGCTCAAGGCAGCATGCTGTGGTTGGCTGCACCGTGCAGCTCCCAGCCAGGGCAGCGAGCAAGTGGCCGGGTGGATGCCAGGCAGCGCGTGGCCCTGAAGGCACAGGGCCCAAGGCAATCACCTTGTTCACCTTGCCCTAATGCCAGGCCTGTATTAGGGCATAAGCTTTTGCGGGTTGCAGTTCACTTCATCAGATGCATGATGTGAATAATACTTGTGTATTCAGTGGATGCTAAAGAGAAATCCTAGGAAGGCAGAATATGATTCCTCAAAGTGGAAGTGATCCCTGACAATGGCTCGACATTCTGTTCTTACAAACATGCTGTAGAATTCCTAATAACCATAAGCAGTCGAAGACTCAAAGTCAACACCTGGAGGATGGTGTTTTTCACTTCAAAGGGGGGAGGGGGGAGTGGAGGGGACTCTACCCAGACTCAGAGTGTACAGCACTACCTATCATCACCAGCACTATTTTCTGCAGAATAAAACCTTTGTTGTCATTAAAGGGCACTTTAGCGCCAGAATTTAGATTCAACACGGCTGCATCTCTATCCCCATTGTGTTAGGCACTGTACTCACATACAGAAAGAGCCAAAGGGCTAACAATCCTCACATGCTGAAGATTAATTTTAAAAGGGATTTACAAAAACTAATACGATGGGAGATGTTCTTAGAGTACTTGTGTTACTTAAGAAGTTCTGACTCAGAGAAAAGAGCGCCACCTACAGCACCACTCCTTACAACACATGAGAACAACCAGTCAGACTAAAGGTCCAGCCAGTCCTGTATCTTGTCTTCTGACAGTGGCCGATGCCAGATGCCCAAGAGGGAGTGAACAGAACAGGTAATCATCAAATGATCCCTCTCCTGTCAGCCATTTCCAGCCGCTGACAAACAGAGGCTAGGGACTCCGTTCCTACACATTCTGCCTAGTAAGTATTGAACATCTTCTCTTTCACTTGGACATCCCACATTGGAATGCTAACTAACGAGGTCAAACCCAGCATTAGTTTGCCAGATCTGATACACTCACATGTAAAATGTGTGTCCATTTCTTGGACAAATGTGCATGAATCCTTACCAGGGATTGCGTAAGTGCAGTCTATTTTTCCCTAGATAGAGCCACTGTAATGAAGTTGCTTACCTGCACACTTGAAGCTCTGGGCTGTGAGTCCTCTTTCTAAAGACAAGGTGGTCAGAATGCTCAGAAAGCTAGTGGTCACAGACTGGCGCTTGCTCTGTCTAAATTCTTTCCCAAAAGACTGATTTCTGGCTTTGTTTCTGAGAGTAACCTGTTGGTTTGGATCTAAACTTCTAGCTGCATTGGCAGCAGATTTCAGGGCCTCTATCCACTCCTGTGCTCTCTGACGGGTCTCTGCACGCAGGCGGAGGACATCTTGAGGGAAAATTACCTGAAAACAAGAGTCACAGTCATCCAGAATATCTGTCTGGACAGTTTGGCACACATCGATGTTATAGGTCAGGAGAGGCTCTTCATCGAGATTCCCAGGCTGAAATGCCATGAGACAAGATCTGCTTAAGACAAAGGTAAATGCTTTCCAGTTATTCTGGACCATCAGCCTATAAAGAGTCCCTGATCTGAGAATGTTTTGGTACTCCTTTCTATTTTGGGTTAAAGCTGTAGCAGGCTTCTTTTGTAAGCCACGAATCTGGGAAAGGTCCCTGCTGTTATCCAACTTCTGAGAGTCTTCTAGGTCTTCCTGCTGCCTCATGAAAGTTGACACAGAGGCATGTACCACTTCCCAAAGTTTCTGCCCCCAGTCCAAAGTCTCCCATGGTGACTCTGCCTTCAGATGCATCTGGGAGTTATTCAACAGAATGACATCCACTATCTTTGTTTCAATGCTACCTGTCACAGTGACGCTTTGGAAATGTGAAAGCAGATACATGGTAGGAAAATTATGGTTGTCACTACTGTCAAGATAACACAGGTACAGTTTGTATGGAGAGAGCTCTGCATAACACGGCTGCCAGTAGTTGTCATGGTCCTTTCTAATTTCTAGGTATCCCTTCTTCAGAATATTTGGGAATGCCAGCTTGTGTTCTGGAACAAATGAAATGAGACAATTACTTAATTCTTTTCCAATGATTCACTCAATATTCATTCTGGATCACAGCAATTGCCCAATATTACTAGGCACATCAAAGGAAGCTGTATTACATTTCTGAGGGGAACTGGTTAGGTTGGCCCACATAAATATTTCCAGCAGGGATATATGATGCAGTAGCATCAGAGGCTAACATATTTATGCAGTCACTTTCAGATTAGGATTAAAATGAAATAAATACAGTAATACCTAAGGTTGTGACAGCTCTTTTCATTTGTGGATCTCAAAGTGCTAGAATAAGGAATGTCAGTATCATTACCCCCATTTTACAGATGGGACTTGAAGCCACAAAAAGATAAGATGACTTGCCCAGGGTCACCCATTAGGTCAGTGGCAGAGTTGGGAATAAAGCACACATCTCCTGACAACCAGTCCAGTGCACTCTCCACTAGACCACATTGCCTCCTATTGTACTGCAGAAACGTAAACCCTAAAGTGCTAAATCATATTTAAAAAGTGGCCAGGCTCAGCTGTGTAATATTTTTAGAGTGTCTCAGTCTATGGAGATGTCATTCATTCTATCATCTAAAACCTCCTAGGCATCTTAATTATTGGGAAGCATGTCTATGCTTCCTTCTAGAGATGTAAGAGGTTAACTAGTTACTTGGTAAGCATTAGCCTTACTGGACTGCTTACCAGGTAACCAGTTGGATGGCCAACCACACCAGGCTGGAGCAGCCCTCACCGGCTGAGTCACACCGGCTATGTGGAAGCACCAAGCAGGTCTCCATTCCCGGCTGTGTTGGGCCAGCGGGCAGGGCCCAGGCAAGCCAACAGGCAGGAACCACCAACAGTTAGCTGGTTAAATGGTATAATTTATACAGCCATCAATTACAACTAACAACAACAAAACCAAGCTAAGGGTGTTACCGTACTACTACAGCAGGAAAAATGGTCAAGTTTAGATTGGCCTTAACTAGTATGTCCTACATTTACTATTATCCTGACAAACCACGGACAAAACCATGTTTAACATCATGATAGTAGACATGTTTTCAACAATTTCATTGATTTAAGCATTATCCTGTCTGAAATGGATGTAAACAAACACATTTAACAACTCCCTGCAAAGGGACAGCCTATTAGAGAGTTATTCAGCTAAAAGAGGAAAACCATAGGTAAAATTGCAGAGAAAAATTAAATTCATAGCCCAAATACAATGGAAAGAAAGAAAAAAAAAAGAAACCAATTTTGATTTCCTTACAGCTCTGGCCCTGACATTCATTAGTATTTCTGTGCTAACTCAAAAGCCATTAATTTCTTTGAAACCCACACTAATCCCTTTGTAGTGCAGATAATGGGAACATATTCTACAGTCCTCTTCCTTTTCTGATAATCCAATAAAAGCAGCAGAGCTGCTGCAAACCCAGCAGCAATTTCGCTTGCTCTCTCTGCTTCCAAAGTACAGACAACAGTTCAAGCTTCTTCCATAATAAGACAAACTCATAACCACTCCCCTTTCCTAGGCTACACAGAAATGTGTTTGTCTTTTCCTGAGTGAAAGAAAAAGCTGTCTCACTCTGTCTTACATCTAGGCATTCCCCCTCCAATTCCCCTTCTTCCCTCAAGCTTCTGGGAACTAGCTTTGACTTCACACACTTCCACAATGATCAGCCAGCTTGATTCAAATGCCTACTGTTTGGGTCTGGGCAATAGATGCTGGATAAATGAGCTGTATTAGCAGGTGCCCCTCCTACATCTACCTCTAGTGCTTCATCTCCTTGATGCACAATGAGCAAGATAATACCCATCTACTGAGTATTGCCATCTTTCTGTCCACCTCAGAAACAGCATTTTGCTTCTCTCCCCCTCACACCCCCCAAAAACCCCAATGGAAATTAAATTGAGGCACAGTTACAAGGGAGATAATCACAGTAAATAGCCCACATCTGGGCTTATGCCTTCTTGAACAGTAATTTTTTGAAAAATAAGGTGAAAGAGACAGCAGCTGGGAGTAGGAGAGAATTCTCTATGCAGATTGCCTCCTCTCTCTGGGTAGTTTGTTTTTATTACATCTCTCGAAGGTCGTGGCTCACCACCTGCAAAGTATCGCTGATTTCCACAGCCATTGGAAGAGGAAAGATCAGCAGTGATTTAAGCAAGGCTGGGAGAATATTTTTCCCATTGCCGGGCAGCTTGTTGTGTTTCTGTTTGTAGGCAGACAGCCTGTCCTGTCACGTGCCAGTTGAATGCTGCTATTAAAAACCAAACAAATGTGTTTTCTCACTTATGCATTATATGAATACATTGTAGATTACGAAGCTTTGTCTAGACAGACAGCTCCTGGATTCTGTTCCCAGATTGGCCACTGATGCGCTGTGTGACCTTGGACAATTCATTTAACTTCTTTTTGCTACAGCCTACTTACCTGAAAAGGCAGAACATTTTTTTGTTGCTGGCATGTCATGAAGCTTAATCCATTCATTTCTGCAAAGCACCTGGAAAACCCTTAACTGAAAGAACTATACTTTAAGGCCCTGATCCTACACTAATGAACACTATGGCAGCTTTGACAATGATTTCTGTGGCTGCAGGATCAACTGATCACAGCACAAAGGATTATTGCTTCTTTAAAAGTGGGGCTGACAGGTAATTAATACACACAATTAAACTGGACTCTCATTTCCAATCTCCTAGGAGGCTCATTCCCACAAGGAGCTGAGCACTATGGCCCCAATTTAGCAAATCACTCTAATTAACCACTGAAGCAATGGACCAAGGATTGTGATGGAGTCTCCATTAATGACAATTTTTAAATCAAGCCTGGGTGTTTTCCTGTATGATTTGCTCTAGGAGTCATTTGGGGAAGTTCTCAGATTATCTCAATGGTCCTTTCTGGCTGTGCAATCTACAAGCATACAAACAGCTCCATCAATTTCACTAGGGCTACCTGAAGTGTTTTGTTGGGTTGCGACCAGAGTGCTCTGCATCTTGCAGATTATGCTCACTTCCTTCCCAAGTCACATCCTCTTCTCTTCTTCTCAGTTATTTTAGATGGAAGAAGGAATTTCCCAGATAATTAGCATATTTGCTTTGCTTCTGTCCTGCATTTATATCTGGCAATTAATTTCCAATATTCAGGTTTATAAGAGCCCAAACAGGTTTATATAGCCTTATAAGTAACTTTACGCTAATGGATCTGGGCAGCAGTTTGCAGATAATACTACTTAATAGAAAACCTGGTCTCTATTTTTCAGTCTTTAGCCTCAAAGAAGGCAAAACTGACTTTGAGAATGCTGAACTAAGCTACCTCTAATTAAGCGTGTTAAGGACTAGTCCTTATTTGCTTATCAGATAGTCTGTTGACTAGTTGATTCCCCCCCTTACTGCCTCTATGACAGAGGCAGCAAAGGAGGGGGAAGGGGTACTTTAAAGCAGCAGTGCCACACAGCTGAGCCAGGGATCAGCTGTGCAGCGGCTGCCCCTTTGAAACACCACCTCTGTGTTTCAAAAGGGCAGCGCCATGGAGCCCAGGAACAGGCGGGGACTCTCCAGCTGATCCCAGGCTCCGTGCGGCATTTCCCCAGAACCCAGGGTCAGCTGGGGAATCTGCACAAAACTGTCCTGCAGGGTCAGCTGGGGAGTCCACACAAAACTTTCGGGGAAGTGCCACACAAAACGCAGGGTCAGCTGGGGACTCCCAGATGTGCATGGAACCTGAGGTCAGAGGGGGACTCTGAGGGACCTCCCAATGACCTTGGGCTCCATGGCTTTGAAATTCACAAGAGCCCCCGCTGAACACTCTGTACTTTTCAAAGCAGGCACCCACCTGTGTGCAGCCTGGAGTCAGCGGGACTTCCCGCTGGCCCCGAGCTGTACACCGAGTTCCGCATTCCTCCTTTTAATTCAAAGGAGGAATGCGGAAGTGCCTATCGACTAGTTGAGCAATCGATGGAAATTCCATTGACTACTTGATTAGTCAATTAACGAGTCAATTAACCACAATTTAACATCCTTACCTCTAATTATGGGTTTGTCCATTCTTAGGGAGTCACATTTTCAGTCACGGTAAATGTGCACAATATGTTTGAAACAAGTGCACCTCATTTCTAGGGCAATTATATTCACCTCCTCAAATGAAAGACATAAAGATTTTGAGATATGGATCAATGGAGAAATGTGCAGGAGGTCAGACTAGGGATGTTAAAGACTAGTCGACTACCCGATAAGCATTTGCTTATTGGATGGTCTTTTGACAAGTTGATATCCCCCCACCCCTTGCTGCCTACATGAGATGGAGGCAACAAAGGGGGGGGGGGAGAAAGGGGTACTTCAAAGTGGCAGCGCTGCACAGCTGTGCGGCACTACCACTTTGAAACCCCAGGGTGGCGTTTCAAGGGGCAGTGGAGCCCGGGGTCAGCTAAGGACTCCCAGCTGACCCTGGGTTCCTAGTGGCATTTCCCCAGAACCCGGGATCAGCTGGGGAGTCCCAGCTGACCGCCCCCCTGCAGCATGCAGCATAGCATGGACCCTGGGGTCAGCGGGGAACTGTGAGTCCCCCGCTAACTCCGGGCTCCATGGTTTTGAAATGCATGGACCCCGGGCTCCATGGCTTTGAAAGCCCACTGAAGACTCTTGTACATTTCAAAGCAGGCACTCCCATGTAGCCCCAAGTCAGTGGGACTTCCCACTGGCCTGGCTGTACGCACAGTTCCTCATTCCTTCTATGAAAAGTACATTTCAAAGGAGGAATGCAGAAATGTCCATCGACTAGTCGACTAGTCAATTAACCTCATTTTAACTAGATGAGCTCTCTGGCCCCTTCTGACATTAAAGTCTATTTTAAAAGTCTATGATCAAACTAGCCTATTTTAAAAGCTTTATTTAAAAGCTTTATTCACACTGTATATTGTTTCCACACCTGTTAATATTTAGATTCCTTAAGCCACCTCCGTTCACTTCCAATAAAATGCCTGCATGGCAGCTATTCCAGAAT